GGGAGCCAATCCCACACACGTACACACGTGTTGAGCAGCTATCTGGAGACCTCGAACTGCTTCGGGAGAGCTTGGTGGAGGTGGGGGCTCGACGCTTGGTGGAGCGGGACCTCGACCCAATCATCCGCTTGGTGCAGACGTTTGGCTTCCGTCTCGCTGCGCTCGACATCCGACAGAATAGCCGCTTCCACGAACTCGCGCTTTCGCAATTGATGTCCGCAGCCGGGCTGGACGGCGAAGCGTTCTTGGCGTCGAGCGAAGCCGAGCGGATCGAGTTCCTAAACGGCGAGCTGCAATCCGCGAGGCCTTTCACGAGGCCCGGAATTGATCTCGGCCCCGAAGCAGATGCCACGCTCAGTTGCCTTCGCGTGGTCGCGGATCACTACGAACGCCACGGTCACGACGGCCTGGGAACGCTGATCATCAGCATGACCCGGTCCTTGTCAGACCTACTGGTCGTTTACCTGCTCGCGCGCGAAGTGGGGCTATGCCGTCAGACCGCGGAGGGCCTCGTCTGCGTCCTGCCCGTGACGCCTCTGTTCGAAACAATCGGTGACCTTCAGTTGGCGCCGCAGGTCCTCGGGGACTTTTTGGATCACCCGATGACGGTTCGAAGCCTGGCTTGGCGCGAGGAGGCTTATCGCAAAGGCGAGGCGGTACAGCAGGTGATGATCGGATACAGCGACAGCAATAAGGACGGGGGGATTCTCGCAAGCTTGTGGACACTGCATCGGGCGCAATCCGCGATGTCTAAGGTCGGCCGCGAGCGTGCCGTTCGCATCCGCTATTTTCACGGCCGTGGCGGGGCTATCAGTCGCGGGGCGGGGCCGACGCATCGCTTCGTGAACGCCTTGCCGCACGGGTCACTCAGCGGTGATCTGCGTATGACCGAGCAAGGCGAAACCATCGCCCAAAAGTACGCGAACGACCTGAACGCAGCTTACAACTTGGAGCTGCTAGTAGCCGGCGTTGCCGGCGCGTCGATTCACCAATGGCGGTGCGAGCACAAGCCGCACCCGCTCGAGCCGGTCATGGATCGTTTGGCTGAATCCAGTCGCGGCGCCTACGAGGACTTGCTCAACACGGACGGGTTCGTGCCCTTCTTCCGACAGGCGACACCCATCGACGCGATCGAGGCGAGCCGCCATGGTTCGCGGCCCGCTAGGCGCACCGGGCGTCAGACTCTCGCGGACTTGCGCGCGATCCCTTGGGTATTCAGCTGGGGGCAAGCTCGCTTTCACTTGTCGGGGTGGTTCGGTGTTGGCGCCGCGTTGGAGCGCCTTCGCGAGGAATCCCCTATGGATTTCAAGGCCGTGTGTAGGCACGCGTTCGCCTGGGCGCCACTGCGTTATCTCATCAGTAACGTCGCGACAAGTGTCGCCACGGCGGACCCCGAGATGATGCAGGCCTACTCCGAACTGGTAACGGACTCAACGATCCGTCAACACTTTATGAGCAGTGTCGATGACGAGTATCAGCGCACGCTGCAGGTGCTTGAGCAGGTCTATGCCGGTTCGTTAGAGAAGCAGAGACCCAACGCGCACGAACTGCTCGCCCTTCGACAACCGGCTCTCCGCGCTTTGCACCTGCGGCAGATCGAGCTGCTTCGTGTCTGGCGCGGCAGCGCGGAGCAGAAGCAGGAAGAGATGCTGCCTCAGCTCCTACTGACGGTCAATGCTATCGCGAGCGGACTGCGGACCACCGGGTAGATTGAGGCAAGGACGGGATGGCGTCCGACCCACTCTCAGGCTATCGCAGCAAATGCTTTTGCTTGCGGAACCCGTTGGACAAAGCAACAGGTGGACTTCATGTCGCTCGTTGTTACCGTATGCTGCGACAACTTTTCGCAGCGCTCGTTAACCACTACTCGCCACCCGCCACCATGCTTCCCGCCGTCGCAATGGCTGGCTGCTCTTGACTTGCAATCACGGCAAGACCTTCCGCGCTAAGACCTTACGACCCCGACGGTAATCCGTCACTCGGCGTCGCGCCGATTGTGCGGCTCCGGTTCACCACGGCGGGGACCGACAAGCCAACGGACTCGACAGGGGTATGGTACCCACGAGTACAATTAAGGCTGATCAATCGAGAGTGATTCTTGGCTGATCCGGCTAGGAGATCCCGGGTCACGTTCCGCGCGGCTCTTTGGACGGGCCGCCTGGGAACGACCAGCAAAGGAGACCGCCATGCACGCCACTTCGGCTGTACTCACCCCCCCTCTCCCCGTGAGCCGGCCGCAATCTCTCGACCCTTACCGGGGATTCGTCCCGGGAGGGTGGTCGCAAGAGGTCAACGTCCGCGACTTCATCCAGCGGAACTACCAGTCTTACGACGGCGACGCCTCGTTTCTCGCCGGCCCCACCAATCGCACCCGCCACTTGTGGAGCAAGCTATTGGAGCTCTTCGTCGTTGAACGCCAGCGTGGCGTGCTGGGGGTCAGCCAAACTCCTTCGTCGATTACCGCCCACGGGCCGGGGTACATCGACAAGGACTCCGAGATCATCGTCGGCCTTCAAACCGACGCGCCACTGAAGCGAGCCATCTTCCCGAACGGCGGTTGGCGGATGGTCGTCAGCTCGCTGAAGGCCTACGGCTACGAGCCTGAACGAGCGGTCGCGGAGGTCTTCACCAAGTATCGCAAGACCCACAACGACGGCGTGTTCGATGTTTACACGCCCGACATCCGGAAGGCGCGGAGCACCCACCTCGTTACGGGGCTGCCCGACGCATATGGTCGCGGCCGGATTATCGGCGATTACCGCCGTGTCCCG